TTCTCCAGCACTTCATTCTAGAAGGAAAATTGTACACTGAATGTCAAGAGATGCCAATCGTTTCTTCCACTAATCATTTCCTTTCCTCCCACCCATTATCCTTCCTTTGATTTTGAAGAGGAACGTATCCCTGTGTCCCTGGCCACAGCTGATTGGACTGGGGGTGGACCACTGACCAGAAGAATACCAAGTGTATTCTCTCCCAGCAGTTTGGGTTTGGATTGATTATCTATACACAACAATCTGGAAGGTTGGGGACTGAAGGTGTCACTTGAGGGCAGCCCTGTGTAGGTAAAATCAGCAAAGAGAGTCTGCAGTCCAAGGAAGTAGACAGGCAGAGGAAGCCAAGATGGGAGGGAGCGAGAGGGAACGGGAGGGAGGGAAACCTGGCAGTTGCTGTGGTCCAGATGTCTTTCCTGATTCTAGTTCACAGGGAGGCTCTGTGCATTTCCTGTCCTTGGTTGCTTCTTGTAATTTGATGGGTTTGTGTCTTACAGTGGAATGATCCCCAATTAAGGCATGAAGAGTACTTGGATAGGGTTTGGCTGACGATGCTGGAAGTGCCTGTTCTAGCCACATTCCCACTGAGGATAAGCAGTAAATCCTTTAAAAAAAAAAAAAAGCTGTTTGGAAAAATATCTTCAATCATCCAGCAATCTTTTATTGAGCAGCTATGTACCAAGCAGTATTCTAGACATCAGGGAAATATCAGTGAAGAAGACAGAGAAGAACCTGCCCTTAGGGAGCTGATTCTTTGGAGGACACAGATAATAGAGTGAACAAAAGATTTAACAGAAGGCATTGCTAAGGGTTATGAACGAAATGAATGAATCATGTGGAATCATAAACTATTAAGGGTTGAAGTCCTCAAAAGTTTCCAGATGCTTTTATTCCCACAGGACCAAAGAAACAATAGAGATAATAAGTGACCTTTAGCAACCCAGGAGAGTAGTGAAACTGCATCGAGCTCATTCTTTGCCAGCTTTTATGTCCTTCCTGGCTCTGGGTTATGTGCTCCTCCTGTTGCACCTGCCATATTGCAGCATATTTTACTGCCTGTTGACGGAGGTGTTTCTCCCGCTCACTGTAGGACCTGAGGGCAGAAACAATGCCTGTCATATAACACAGTGACTCACGCTTCAGAGTTGTGCAATAAATAGTTGCTGGGTTAATAAATAACAAGGGCTGTTGCCTGATAGCATCAACATTAACATTGTACTCCTGCAGGCAGTTCTTCCTCCATGCACCCCTCCAAAGGCAGTAGTTGGGTAACGACACACATGGCATGGTTGTCTTCAGAGGGAAGAGAATAATCTGCCACCGCCATCCAGGCAAGGTGGTTGGATGACTCAGAGTTGAGACCAGAGCCTTTGTGCTGAGCACTTCTTAAAAACGGAGAAGTTAAGCCTGCAGGGCCTGTATCCAGTGGCTCTCAGGAGGTGCCTGATTCCTGTTGATGGGTGCAGATGGGAGCTGCCGGCCATCAGCTTGAGGACTAACCCCACTTTGGGGACAGGACAGTTACCATCTAACAAAAGGGAGCACACAGTGCACCCGGAAAGGTATCCATGTGTGAACACCCACGTGTGCCCAGAACAGCAGACTTCACCTCTCCTCCCTCCTTCCTCACCACAGAGTTAACAAATAACAAATCCTGGTGCCCTGTGGGCTTCAATGCTGTCTGCTCAGCCATGTCTCTAGAATACAGTAATCCTTTTCAGGGGAGGACTGTGGCCCTCACCAATCGGTTCAACCCTAAGGCTGACTGTTTACTGCCTTGGCAACTGAAGCCCACACTGGTGTTTTCATGGTGGAGGTAAAACAAGGTCTCAAGGCACAGCTAGCTACCTGAGCCTAGGACAGACCCAGACACGATGGAGCCTGGTTCCCTTGCCTGGATAGGTGGGATGATACATTCCCTGGCCAGCCGGTGGAGAATCCCACCCAGAGACCAGAACTCAAACCTTTGTGGGAGCAGCTGAAACAGGCTGCTTACTGTATCACTTAGCACAGCACCTGATCTTATCTATAATAGGAAACTTCCAGAGGGTTTGGAGAAAGATGAATTTCTTCCATTTTTCATTATTGCATAGAATTCCTTATAGGGTTTGCTATGCATAATTTAAAAAATTTGTATGAGTAGTGCATAAATATGTTCTTATAAAAAAAAATCAGACCACACAAAAGCTTATAGAGTAAAAAGCCCCTTCTACCACCTCCAATCTCTCTCCTCCCTGCTGTTACATTTGGATGTATCTTTTCCCCATCTTTACATACATGTACATGCATATGCAGATAATAGACTTGTTTAGTTTTACGTATTAGTTCTTACACTGCACGTAGAATTTTGCTATTTCATGTTTTTCAACAACCAATGTACCTTGGTGCCCTTTTCATGTCAGTACATTCTTGTGAAGGGCTCCATAGTATTAACATTCTGTGGTGTGTATGAACTATAATTCAAACAACTTTCCCTACTGGTTAACATTTGGGTTGTTTCCAGTTTTCCACTATTATGAACACTGTAATGAACATCTTTCCACACGTCTCACTGTGTCCCTGTAGGCATTTCTATAGGGAAGATAGATACCTGGAATTGCTGGGTCAAAATTTAGCTGAACACTGATACCGTAATAGCTTCATCAATCTACATTCCCATAGTAGTGCATGGGTGCTCATTTTCACACATCCCACCAACACTGGGCAGCCACTTAGTCAACAAATATATAGTGAGCAACAAATATATAGTGAAGGCAGGCCTCGCCCAGGTGATTTTGAGCCTTCCTTGAAGGAAGGGAGTGCAAATCTCAGAGTGTTCCAGGCACAGGAAAGAGCAGCTCAGTGGGCAGGTATGTGCTGGGTCTGTTCAGAGATGCAGGAAGGAGGCCAGTGTGGCTTGAACAGAGTGGGTGAGAAGACTGAGAGAAAATGGGGGCCAGGTTGGGTAGGGACTGGCAGGCAACCGAAAGGGCTTTGGTTTTTACTCCACACTACAGACAGAAAGTTTTGAGCACCAGTGACATGAGCTGTCTTGGGTGCTAACAGCTTCTCTCTGGCTGCTATGTAAGGATAAACTAGGAGTCAGGAGACTACTGCAATAATAATCCAATTGAGAGTAGCTTGGGTCAGTGTGCAAACTGGCAAAAAGAAGTGATCAGAGTTTAGATACTTTGAAAGTAGAGCCAATATTTACTGTGGGATTAGAAATAGGGTGTTAAGTAAGAGAAGAGTCAAGAAATTATAATCTAAATTTTTCCAAATGGATGGGCACAAAAATCTCTTTTACTTACACCTCATTGCTTTAATTTGTGTTTCCCTAATTCCCTCCCCTCCCCTCTCCTTCCCATTCTCCTTGGTTAATGCTTGATTTTCTTACCAACAATCCTGCTTATGGGGTAGCTGTGCTTGCTGTTTATCCAAACTCTGAGATTAATTTCTCATTTTAGAAAAACAGCATTGCAGATCTGGTAGGTAACCCAGGATTACTTGGTCAGACCTCCTTACAGATGAGAAAACTGGGTTGCTCAAAAAAATTAACTGCGACTCAGTAGAACGACTTATTGAAGGTCACACAGCCAAATGTTGGAGCTTTATTAAAATTTAGCTTTCCTGACAACCATTCTAGTTTGCTTTCCATCTTATATACCATCCTATCTTAGTCAGAAACCCATTTTACCAATGAAACTGAGCCAACAAACTCATCTCCAATGAGGGCTCAAATTTGGATAGGATAGTTGATCAAAAGGAATGTTAATAAAAATTTGCTATCCAGGCTAAGAAACTAGATTTGCATTGCTTTTTCCGCTATAATCTTCGGAGCAGGAGAAAACAGGTGAGATGTCTTTCCTGCCTAGCTGCTCCAGCCTTTCAGTCGTGCTGAGATCAATAATCATTCCCCAGGCTCCTTTCCGCCTCATTACCATTCTAATTTGCCTTAGTCAGGTCTATTTAGGGTATTAGGGTTTTATTTATTTTTTTTCCCTACACTAATAAACCAAGCTTTAAATTAAGGGAAAACAGAAAAGGGGTAAGACCAGCTTATCTTAGTGAAAAAGGTATTGGGAAGAACGTGGCATGCCAAGCCTGGCTGAGTCTGTCCTGTTTAGCAATACATCTCTGTCTCACTGAGGGCCTGGGATCCTTCTAGGAAAAATCCGATGTAGGGTACTGGAAATAGGCGAGAAGCTCTACTGGAATAATAAGCAGAGTAGTGAGAGGATCTGTCTTACCCAGATGGGAGGGCCTCAGACTGGAGTGGAGCTGATGAGGGCCGTTAGGAAGGTGAGTGGACACTTTATAAAACTGCTGCTTCTGAGTGGTGTGCCTTACCTACCCCCTTTCAAAAAGCGTCACAAAGACCTTCTTCAAAAGAGCAATTTAAGGGGAGACGGTACAGTTCAATGGTAGAGTGTATGCCTAGCATGCACACGGTCCTGGGTTTAATCCCCAGTACTTCTGTTAAAAATAAAAAAAAAAAACCTAATTACCTCTCCCCACCCCTGCTCCCCAAAGAAACTATTGCTAAAAGAGCAATTTATGATGGCTATAGAAATTCAGAAGATAGAATATTGTAACCCTGTCTTTTCTGTGCATATACACCCTGTGCATACAAAAGACCTCTGGTAACATGCTTGCATTATGTTGTTTTTAACCTGTTTTACCCAGCTAACATATTGAGCATTTCTTCTATTAACTATATCTCTAAAACATGATTGGTAATAGTTATATTTTATTACATAAAATAATTGAATCAAACAAGCTCCTCTCGTTGAAAACACTGATGTTCCTAGATTTGCATTCTAATATATTTTAGGTAGAGGTAGAATTACCAGGTCAGCGAGTATTGCTTCAAATAATAATTTAAAATATCAAACATATTCTTTTTTAAAAAATGATTTTAAAAGATTTTCAATGTAAAAAAATCAGAAATACAGAAAAGCACATATAAACATCAACTCTAATGCCACTGTCATTCACTTTGGTATACATACCCTTCCATATTTTTTTTTTTTAATAGGTGAACATTCTATACAGAATTAGGTTACTATGCATGGTTTCACAACTGGATTTTCTCATTAATACAAGTATTTCCTCCTATCTGTACTTGTTCTTCCAAAACATGACTTTTAATAGCTATAGTTTTCCACTGTTTGGTTATGTCACACCCATTAGGATATAAGTACCACAAAGACAGGTCCTTTTGAGCAAAGAACAGTGACTCATATAGAACTGTGCTCAATAACCATTTATTGAACAAATACACGAATTTAATCAACCAACTCCTCATCGCTGGATACTGAACTTATTTCAAACTTTCACTATTATATTCTTACACAAAAATCTTGTGGACAGCTTCAATAACTCCCTTAGACTTAACTAGAAGTGAAATTTATAGGTTCAAATGGTACACGTTTTAGAACATAATTAGGATGATATATATTATTTATCATCAAACCAGAACCCTTCAGAGAGGAAAAGGGAACGTCATTCAGGACAGCCCTGTCCAAACTGGGATGTAGAATTACATGTCGTATGACGCCAAACTGAGCCTTAGAGGCTACAGCAATTTACGTTCCCACCAGCACAGTATTAGAGTGCCAATTTTCCCGGGTCTAACATTTGTGACTCCACCCTTCCTACCACGTACATCCTTGGTCACACTGAATATCTACCCTGGCATTTTTGATATGAAATAATAAAGAAACAAACACAACTTCTCCTTGGGCCCTTCTCTTGGTTTCAGGTTCCTTTTTAGGGGTCTAGTTCCCTTTCTGGGTGTCAGCAAACATTCTGTGTAAAGGCTAAATGCTATCTTTTTCAGGCTTTGTAGGCTACATGGTCCCTGTTGCAATTATTCAACTCTGCCATTTTAACATGAAAGCAACCACAGATAACCTGTAAATGATTTATTGCGGGTGTGTTCCAATAAAACTATTTGTGGATGTAGAAATTTGAATTTCATGTAGTTTTCATGTGTCACAAAATATTACTCTTCTTTTGATTTTTCCCCCCAACCATTTAGAAATGTAGAAACTATTCTTCGTCCATGCGCAGTAAAAAAACAGGGGGTGAGTCATAGTTTGCTGACCTGACTTAGCAAATATCTGGTTGACAACTAGAACAAACTGGGCGGGGGTGGAGGGACTCATCCTCATTTAAATGTAGAAAAATTGCCAATTTTTCCTTTTTTCTGAGTTGTGTAATTTTCTGCTGTCAAAAATAGAGTTGTATTATATACATCTTCAACTATATGTGCCTCACAGAAATAAATACACATAAAAATGAGAGTGCTTAATTGTGCTAAGCCCCCCCTTGCCCCCACAAGTGAGCTCATGAGCACATCCCCCGAGGAAGCCTGGGTTAGGAGAGGAATCTGCTCTCTCTTGGCTGGCCTCAGTTTCCACACGCTTCTCATAGCACATGTATCTCATTTCCTGGAGTGTGAGTTTACAGTTTGGGTATGTATTTTTTTGTAGAACACTGCCCCTGAACACAAGCCAACACCTTCACCTAATAATCAACTGACTGGAGAGTGATTTGTTCTAATGCTGAAGGACAAAGTGACTGCTGGATTTACTAAATGACATGTGGGTTTTCAGTGGGTCACAAATAATGTAAACAGTATTCATATAAAGGACATTAAGGAAAATTTAAGGGATTTTTCCAGTGGTAATTTTAATGATAGAAAATTATCCTATCACCTACTAATTTTAGAACCTTGTTACAAATAAGGGATACGTCTATTTTTATTCCTTCAAAAATGCTCATAAGAAATAAAAGGCAGGACAAATGAGATGCAAATGTGGCAAGACATGTCACAAACAGCAGGTATCAAAGAAGCTTCTGGTCACTTGTCCACATAAACGAATAAGCTGGAATGTTTCTAGGAGTCTATATAATAATAAATTATCGGCATATCATGTTTCTAGAAAGGAGCATGAAATTCCCATTATCATTTGAAATATCAATACCCTTAAGGAAGATGGTAGTAAATATTATCTTCATTTTACAAATGAGGTAACTGAGGCCCAGAGAAATGTAAGGTAACTTAGCCCAGGGTACCGTGAGTTGAGTTGTTGGGGGTACACAGATTAAAGCTCAGTGCTTTGTGCATTTTCCAAGCTGTCTATAATCAAAAAAGACAGCAGTGACTGGAATATCAAGGAATATTCTCTCCGGTGAGACAGCCACAAAGAATACTTAGAGCAGAAACAGCTAGAGGGCTTCAAAAGCATGAACAATACAGCAAGTGAAAACAGGGGGAAAAAAAAACCAATCACAGATACATTTACCCTCAAAAAGAGATACAGATCTTTAATTTAAAACTGAGTAAGTTTATTCATGGAGAAAACAGTTACAGAATACCCTTTGGACTTTCTTAGTCCAACAATTAAAATTGCGTTTAAAAGCCAACGGGAAAAGCTTAGAGACCTAAAAGACGTCTGGAGAAACTACTGTTCCTCCTTCCTTGGGTTTAGACGTATTTATCTTTTAAGCAAGAGAGATAGCTGTGATTAATTTCTTTTCCAGGGGATGTGATTTTCAGTTCCACTGTCTTAATGTGTACAGGACTCTTCTGTGAAGGTCAGAGAAGATCAAAGAATTTGATGTTGAATGAAAGAATTAAGAAGGTAAGACTATTGGTTGGTTTATGGAACCACAATTTTACCACAAATCACTAGATGGGTGGTGAGAGGGGTATTATGTTTCCCATCAATAAAACCTGAGGTATTTAAAGACTCGATAGACATGGAAACACTTCTACCTCCCTCAGAGGTAACTGCACAGGCTGAGAAGGCTGTTGTGGAAGGTCACACCTCCTTGGACTTCACGCATACCTTAGTACCAAAACCTAATCTGGACTGGACCATGACAAACACTTCTCTGAACAAGCGGTTAATCAGTTTTCTCTTCTGGGTGGGTTCCAAGGCAACAGTGTGATCAATGATGAGTTTTTCCTTGTCTCTGTTTTTGGCTTGGTGCTAAAGTTTATGGTAATACAAAACAGCATGGTCATTTACTGTTAAGACCTGCCTGAGTAAAAGAATGGGCTCTCCAAGTCTCAGCAGTCAGGGTTTAACCTAGCCCGTTTTACTTGGCTGGTCTCATCGTCGAGATGGCAGAAACCTGTGGTGACGTCTCTTTTATTCTCTTCCATGGGTTCCAAAGGGAAGTCTTGACCTACAGCCAGCACCTGTCGAACAGTCATGTTAACACGAGCAGTTTTCAAGTAGCTAGCACACACCTGCCAGTCCTCCACAGAACAGGGCTCCACCACTGAGTCTCTAGGGAGGTCAGCTGGGAGTAGAGTCTCAAGGCAGCAAGGCAGGCTTTCCCCTTCAGGACTGGGAAGGACCCTTGGGACTGCATGGTTCAACAGGCGGCTGAAACCTGACATTACCATAATGTCACCGCTGTGCATAAACATGGGGGTGGGAGCTTCATCTCTTTTGAGGCCACCCAGGAGAAAGATGGCAGACTGTCCGAAGCTATAAAAACAAAACAAAACAGGTAAAACAATACACAATAGTAAGTTCTGTTACTAACCATGGTTGGGAAAGTTACTGCCAACTGCATTGTTTTCTAACTGCAGCTTGATAATTATTGTTCTCAAATTCTCCTTTTAAAACTCTAAGATCCTTTTTTTCTGGCTTGTGTCTATGAGTGACCAACCCATGATATACCACTTAAACTTATCACAGCCCACAGGACTGCTGCAAAATAAAATTTAAAGCAGGTAAATAACAAAATTAAAAATTTAGTTTTAACATGACCTCTGTAAGTTGTACTGATACATCTTTAAGTTTTTTAATAAAATTATTTGGGTCCTTTACTACATATTTATCATTCCTGTTCATTTAAAGATAAAACAATGAATGACTCTGTTTAGGCACTTTCTTTGTGAGATACAGGTACAGCACTTTGCACAAATATAAGCTTACATTTAGGGAGACAAGGAGAGTTAAAATATTCGGGCTTCTGTGCTTTGCTCTTCTCTATTCCAAAAAGGTTGCTCACTTGGCCTTACGGCCTTTTTCACTTATCTATTCCACAGACACTAACAATACCCCTCATTACAAAAGGCAGACCCCATGCATCTTAAACATTAACTGTAATTTATTCATTATTCTTAAAGGACTAGGCTATAATAAGTATTAACTGTATTAAGTTAATATGTTATTAAGTTAATAAGTTATTAATAACTCTCAAAGAACTAGGCTATATAATAAGTATTAACTGTATTAAGTTAATATAAGTATTAACTGTAATTTGGTTATTACTCTTAAAGGAGTAGGCTAATTTTACTTATGTACATTGTTAAGATGCCTATAAATGAAAACTTATGGAGTCCAACAATTTTTTAAAATTTAATGTTTTTATTTATGTACTTTAGCTTAAAAATGCTTTAGAAAAGGAATGAAGTGATAAAAAGTAATCCAAAATCCCTAGACCTAACTTACCTGAATGATAACAGGGGTTTGGAGTGATCCAGTTCAGATCTGTCTACGTGGATCCCCAGTGTGGAGTCTAATCGGTAGTAATTCAGGATACCTGCTTCAGCCCGGAAACCCTGAAATCCACAGGCAGCGGCTACTTGCTCTGAGAGGAAAGCCAGGTCAGAAGGGAAAGGCGTATAATGATCTGCTGAGTATTTCTTTGATAAAAGTAGGGAAAATAAGAAAAATAAATAATGATCTCAGGAAAATAGGAAACTGTGGCATAAGATTAATTACCACTTTAAAAATCTAATTTACACATAATGTTAAATAGCATGACTTACCCATCCCTTGAAAGACCTTTTTTATTGAGGTACAGTTGATTTACAGTATTATATTAGTTTCAGGTACACAACATAGTGATTCAAAATTTTTATAGATTATATTCCACTTAAAGTTATTATAAAGTATTGGCTATATTCCCTGTGCTGTACAATATATCCTTGTGGCTTATTTATTTTATACATAGTAGTTTGTACCTCTTAATAGCCATTCATTTTTAAGGCATCCAGGAATCCAATAACGGGCCATTCAAAATACTGAGCACTTATTACATGGCAGGCTCTGTGCTATGCAGTGATAAATCAGACAAATTCACCCTGCATGGAATCTACTTATGAAACAATTGCACCTCTCTCTGGTATCCTCTAATCCTAAAAGGACAGTTCTCTTAAGGGTAAAAAGGCAACTCAAAACTGTCACTGCCAAGAGGTACCTAAGGAAACATGCTGGCTAAATGTAATGTATCCTGGATGGGATCCTAGAACAGAAGAAGTACATTGGTTACAAACTCAGAAAATCTAAATGAAGTATGTATTTCACTATTACAATAATGTATCACTACTGGTTCACTAATTGAGAAAAAGTTACTGTACTAATGTAAGATGTTAATAAAAGGAGAACTGGGTGTAGGGTATTTGGAACTCTGCATTATCTTTTTAATTTTTCTGTAAATCTAAAACTATACTAAAAAACAAAGTTTACTTAAAAAAAAAAAGGCAATTCAAGTAATACAGCCAGTTTGATTTTGGACCCCTCAGCCTGCAACATGGCTTCGTGTGATTTCACTGGTAGGTCTGATGGGATGACGTGCTCAAAACATCTGAACTTAAACTGACTTATACTAGGTCAAGGCAGGATCTTAAAATGGAAGTAGTTTTCAGCACTTACTTCCCTGAACTGCCTCTATATTTAGTACCCAAGGATCACAAATATCTTTTTTCTCTTAAAAAAAAAAATCAAAGGCCAGAACACTCTACAAAACCTGTACAATTTCTGAGAATGACAAGGCAGCAGTCTCCTATGCAGATGAGTCTGAGGGCCAGTCTGGCCTTCTAAGCCAGCAGCAGCCTGATACCTTCCTTGGTCTGATGTTCCCTCTCACTCCTCCCATTGCTCAATCAAATTCAAATCTGATTAGGAAATCCACTTGTGTCTCACATCTCCACTAGTGACCACTAGCTAGAGTAACAGCCACACTTCTGAAGAGAATGTATTTACTTTGACTAAAAGTGAGCTTTAACTTCCCATTAAGGAAGATTTTTGTGAAAGGTCTCAGATGGATGGCCAAGCCTCTTTGGAATCTGTTTATTTTTTTCTTCTCTTTTTCCTGAACTGCATGTAAGAAGAGCTTCTATTTAACTTCTCAAAACTAAGGGTGTAGTTAGAGAACTTTAAGGTTTTCTCCACCATTTTAAGTTTTGGTCCTTTAGAAGATCAACCACTCAGAGCTGCTATTCTAGCACTAGATAGCCTCTGCTATGGTGAAACAGTTACCTTTTGGGGCTTTGAAGCCTATCCAAACTGTCTCTTATTTAATTCTTTTTCATTTTTCTCTGATTACCCATTCAGTGTTTTTGATCACTTTCACTCCATGTTTATCTTAGTAAATGAGGCTAACTCTGAGGTCCTTGGGGAAAAACAGTATCAACAATAAAATCAGTATAAAAAACAAGAAGCTAACATTTATCGTGTTAATGTATTTAACTGCTTAGAACAGCCAGGCCCTGTTGTCATCACTATAAAGGCATTAATCACTTAATCCTCGTGACCACCTTAATGAGGTACACACTATCCTTATTGAAAGCAGGATTCAAACCAGGCTGTCTAACCCAAAGAAAACTACATGGCCATTCCCCAAATACAGATATCTAGCTTTCCATTAAATCTGTATCACTGGAAAAAAAAAAGAATTATATTATGAATAGTTCTGAGCAACATTTATCATTACTTTGAGTAGTTAATGTATTTATTAATGAGCTGGCTAGACTGAAACTATGGAGCTTTTAAAAAGTAACTGGTTAGTAGGAACATAGTCTATACCAGTTAGTTTTATTTAGTTTCCTCTTAGAATTAGTCCTTCTACTTGGTGGCAAACATCTCACTGAGATAAGAGGCACTGCCATGCTGGTGATAAAGGAGGCATTTTCTGAAACATAGAGGTCAGGAAAGAAGAAACTGTACCTCAAGAAAACAAGGAACTTTGTTACAAACTGTGAGACATTGTTTTGCATTTTTTCCCTGCTCAGACCTTACATAGCAGTCAAAGGTATCTAGATCTTGAAAGTTCTCTTGTGAGTTGACGGAAGAGAAAACCAGAAGTACATGGTGCTTCTTTCACTTTAGGCATGTATTATATAGAAAATAAATGGTCAACAAACACTAAATGATAATGGAAATAAAGATTATATTGAGAACTGCTCTTGAGTGCCTTAAAGAAAAATCTATATCCCTGAAACCTCCGTAGAGAAAGCACCAATGACTTCTGATGAAATAATGTAACCCAAGGGCACATGAAAAGGTAATTTTCTCTTGATAAATTATTTATTCCTCTTTAGATACCAGATCAAGAGGAATTTAGGAGGGAATAAATGAAAGAAATTCTCCCACAAATGGATAGTCTGATACTTTAAGCTTGGTCAGGAAGAAATCAAACTATGTGGGCCCAAGAAGCATAAAAATGGAAAACAATGGAATTAGCAAGAAAATTTGAATACCTTACTGTCCCAGTTATAATGGTAGCCTAGGGTCACCCAGCGCAGTTTCTCTAGTAAACTTCGGGGTCTCCGTTTATTCACTTCTTTATACCTGCAAAGATTGGAGACAAAAGATACTCTGTTCACCTCAAAAGGCAGTAATAGCCCACTGTATGGACTCTGGGGTCTAAATCTGATATTCTATGGTATAAGCTGTTTGATAAGATCTCCACAGGGGAAAGCTGAACATATAAATGAGTTGACCAAGAATATAACAGCACTACTGAAAAACATATTAGCATTTCTAATTTCTAGTCCTTTGTTTTATATCCTCTACTGAATGGGATCAATTTTCAAATGGCAAGTCTCCAGCATCTCAAAACTAAAACAAGATGACAACTGAAATGTCTTACCTGTCCATGGGAAATGGGACAAACAGCCCTACTGGTAATTGAAAATCTGGCTAGCAGAGCATGTTCAATTCGGTTTGCTAAAAGCAGGACATGATTAATTACAGCTATCACTATGTCTATAACGATGGTGGCTTCCCAGAATTGTGGTTTGGGCATAAAAAAGTTTGGCAAAATACAGTATACAATAAAAAATAACTGGTTTAACATGCCTTTTTTAACCCTATATAACAATTAAGACAACTGAGGCCTAGCTAACAACTACTAGCTAAGGGCCACTACAATTGATTTGATTCTGACACCCCTGGTTCAAACCACAGGAGGTTTCTTTAAAATGGAGGTGTCCTTTCTGCAGTTATATCCTATCTAATCAAATCCATGGGATTAACGAGTCTTTTTCTAAAGAAGCAGCTTGTTTGTTTGATTTACTTCTAAACATTTAAAAACACAAGAATGCTAGGCCTAATCATTTTATTTAGTTTGGTATTTTTCTAATTACATCATTAATCAATAAAAAAAAATTTGGGGTCTAAGAATCATTGCTGCTTAAAAAAGATCAGACTGCTATGAGGAGTTTATATTTTGACAGGAGATGACAGATAAGTATAAGAAAGAAATGAGGGGAAAACTCAAGACAGTATAAAACCTAGTACTAAACTGAGCAGCACATGACTGTGAGGGCCACCAGAATTATGAAAAAGGAGAGCTCAAAATCAGCTGTCTCATCAGTTAAGGCTCCATGGCAGAGCTGGGGAGTTGAGTGTGGCACTGAAGAATGTCCAGCATTTAAACAAGGAGTGATGCAGTAGGCAATACAGGCACACAGCAGGAGCAGAAGCAAAGGATTTATTACAGGCTCACACTGTAAGTGGCACTCATCTTGATGTCTGACAAAGAGTTTACAGAGTAGATGCCACCTGTCCTCAAAGAGTTGCAACAGAGACATACATCAAAACCAGTAACTAAATAAAAGGAATGGATCAAACACTGATTTATTTAGGACAGCTGTGCAGAAAAGAGGCCTAGCAGATCCAACTGCTAGCCTTTTTAAGGACTGCTTATGAGGCTAGCCCTTGGCAAACATCTGGAACTTGGATTTTGGGGAGGTTCACACCATTACCAGAACTATAGCTCACTGTGCCTAAATTGTTCATATAAACAATATAGTTTATGCTGAACACCTGCCTTCCTTCTGGGAGTCTAAATTTTGGTACCTGTCAGGCAGAGACTGCCTATGTGCCAGCCCCTCATAAAACCTGGGCACTGAGCTTCTTTAAATCATGCTGATGCTGCTGGTCCAGAGACCACACTTCAGAAAAACACTATTCTAGCCAAAATTAAAAAACAAAACACCTTCTATCTCTTTCTGGCTCAATAAAGGATCATTTTATTCTTGAGAAAGAACCCATTTATATTCTATCAAAACCAGACTGATCTGTACAAATAAAGATAACAAGGCAGCTCTGGCAATCTGATGACATTTTAGACATTTGATATAGTACCAATAAGCTGCTTTTCATCACAAGATTGGGTCTAATGTTCTTCAAGAACAGGGTATACATTGTCATAATTAATACAGGGTTATGGTGTTAATAAAGTTATCAAAATTATAGTAACAACCAAGTATGAATAGAAATATCCTATAACGTACCTTTTAAAATTCAGTTCCTTTTTTAGGAAACCAAAAGAAAATCTTTCTACATTAACTGGATCACTATAAGAAAGGCTTTCGGCTTTGCTTTATCCTTACAGAGAGAGATTGGTCCAAGTATGCAAAAGAAGCTAGCTAAGAGTCATACTTTCAAAAAAGCATTAAGCCCAGTCCTCATAACAAAGGAAAAAAAAAAAGCTGAAAATACTGAGGGATTAATGAAGGGGCAGTTGCGCTGTTCTTTTTTTTTAAACCTGACTTATCCAAAAGGAAGCCAAGAAGGCTGTTACAATGGAGCCCTCTTACCTACTGTAAGGAATGCAGGGAGTATGTTGAGACCTCACCTAACTTTAAATCTCTAATTATTCAAAAGAATGTTTCCAGCCAAGTATGACCCTACTTATTGGTTCTCATTGCGAACAGAAACACTCTGTACGCCTTGCCTCTGCTGCTCCCCCAGGCACCAGCAGGATGGATGAGTGGGCTGGCCACCTTCTCCCCTAGTCAAGGTGCCCACACAGCAGTTTTGCTCACTTTCTGTCACGGGTAGTAAGTACTGGCATTTTTTTTCAGCAATCACATTCTATAGCACTGCTTTCAACTGAACCCTAACTGGACAGAAATGAACTCCTGACCTGCCTGTCCACTCTCTGGGCAGCAGGTAGTCTGGGTGTCATAACTAAGCTTTGGTGTTTTCTTCTCTTTCTTGCCTCAAGGGACATTAGTGAACCTCTGTGAAAGCAAAAGAACTCATTCAGTGAGGACTCAGAAGTCTAAAGGTTGTTTGATAGAAAACTTTCAAAATCCTATTGCAGGTATTGCTTTTTCAATCATTTTTAAAGACTTGGGGATAGTGTCTTTCATATCTCTCAATATTTCCCTCCATGACCACAACTTTCTGTCCTTCCCTTCCTAGTCTCTCATTCCCATTAAATCTAGCTCTATATCCTATCCCTAGAACTCTGTTTTTTCAGTATTTGAGTGATTCCAGTTTTGTTTCCCTTCTCAATCTGAATCTCCCTATCAATGCAACCATCCAACTCCACCTTAACTACTAATGTCCTTTTACTATCATGCAAATATTTAGTCTTATCTAATCTTCCATCTTTGGTCCTAAACCTTCACCATTTATCTCAAGTCCTCAGTCCTGCTCTTACTCCCTTCCAGGATAAAGAGAATACAGAAGCCTGATCAAAGGTCCAGTGAACGATTTCCACTTTTCTCCCTTATACCTCTAAACTTTTCAAAATCCTTAGCCCGTCCTTCCTGCCTGGTTTCAGCAGTGGTCCTACTTCTTTCCATTAAGGCTAATTCTCCACCTATACTATTTCCCATTCCCCTGACACAGCCTCTGAGGCCCTTCTCCATTGGTCATCTTTCTTCTCATATCTTCAAGTCTGCCTTTGTACTTATTTCTTCCTCTTGATCTGCAAAACTGTTCAACATTTCCACATACTTAAGAAAAAACCAACAAAAAACATCTTTCCAACTTGATCTCTTACTCAGGTACCCTACCTACGTCCTGTCTCCCTCTGCTCCGTATCTCTCCTTCCTTTTACAATTAAACTTTCATAGAAGGACTCAATATTTGCTGCCCTGACTCTCTCTCATCACTGCAGTCTGACTTTTGCTTATACCACTTTACCAAAACCTAATTTCTTAGATTCAGTAATATCATTTAACTGTCAAAACCTAGGCCTAATGACCTGGTTTGTCCTTCTTTTATTTTGGAAACATCTTCCTGTCTTGGCTTCCAATAGTACTTTTTTTTTTCACCCAGAGCTGATGCTTCCTAGGGACAATGGCCTTCTTTTTTCTGTATGTTTTCCATAAACAAAAAACCACATCCATTCTCACTGCTTCACTATGGCTTCATGTGTAACTCCTACGTCTAACTTTGCTGCTAAGCTTAGTTCCATATTTCCAAAGGCATACTAGACATTTCCACATGGACACTCCACAGAGATTACAAAAGCAAAAAGCCTCAAATTACACTAAGGATCGTCTCTGCTCATTCTCCTCTTCCTCCAATCCTTATCTTCATTAGAAATCCTAGTATATATTGTTGCAATGAACATGGAGGTGTAGCTATATTTTTGAGATAGTGATTTGGTTTCCTTTGGATATATACCCAGAGGTGGAATTGCAGTATCAAACAGTAGTTCTATTTTTAATTTTTTGAGAAGCCTCCATACTGTTTTGCATAAATAAATAACTGCAGCATTATTTACAATAGCCACGACATGGAAACAATCTAAGTATCCAATGACAGATGAATGGATAAAGAAAATGTGATACCTATACAGCAGAATTATTCAGCCATAAAAAGGGGAAATACCGCCATTCGTGACAACACGGATGAAACTTGAGGGCACTATGCTAAGTGGGATAAATTCAGATAGAGAAAGACAAATATTGTATGAATATATTTATATGTGAAATTTTAAAAACCTGAAATAGAACATATTGATGGTTGCCAGAGGCAGGGTTGGAGTGTGTATGTGAAATGGGTAAAGGTGGTCAAAAAATAAAAACTTCCCATTATAAGAGAAGTAAGTTTTGGAGATGTAATGTACGGCATGGTGACTACAGTGAATATTGTACTGTATATCTGAAAGTTGCTAAGAGAGTAGATCTTAAAAGTTCTTATAACAAGAAAAAATTGTAATGATGTGAGGTCACTGATGTTAATTAAATTTATTGTTATAATCATTTGGAATATACACATGTCAAATCATTATTTGGTACATCTTAGACTAACACAATGTTGTATATCATTTATATTTCAATAAAACTGGGAAAACCCCCACCCCAAAACCTCAGTATTACCCTAATACCACTTAGAATTCTGTGGATAATGCTTAACTACTTTTCCCTCACTTTTCATAATCTCTTAATTACCAAGCCCTGTAGACAATGTATTTTTCAGGCCTTATCATCTTTTGCATGGATTATTAAGCTAAATTCTTAATTGTGCTTTTTTGCAATGACTAAATTTTCAATCCATTTTCCTCACTGCCACAAAAATTATCTTTCTAAAGTGAAAAATCT